CCTCCCTCCCTCCCTCCCTCCCCACTCTTTCTGTCTCACGTGCAGATACACGCATAGGTGCACACTTGTGGGGAAGGCTTCACAACTATAGTTTCTTACCCAGACTCGTTCGGCATCGCTTCCACTCCGCGCGCGAGCGCAAATATGAGTTCACAGCGATCTTTTGCAGGTAGGTCCCTGCTTCTCAGCCGGACTCGTTCGCTGTGTACACGCGCGGAGGTACAACAGGTATAGGTCCATGCAAGCCCATTATTTTGCAGGTGTTGGGACATGATTTCCTAAAGAAAACCTGCACTTGACATTGGAAGTCCTAGTTTCGCCACTTGAGAGCATGCACACTCGGGAACTCGTTTCGTGACCGTGCGTGCGACGCGACCTTAGGCTTTCTCGCGTGACAAAGCGGTGCCACGACTTCGTGGGCGATGGGGCATGGAGAAAGAACCGCTTGTATCATATCACATCCACATGTCAACTGCAGTATCACGCGGGTGTTCCGAGTCGCGAGGAGCACAACAGCAAGTGCCGGCATATATGGCATATCTTGACCCTGTTTGTAGCACAAGGGCAGAGGTTGCTATTCAAGATGAGATCGTCCAGTATATCAGATAGATTGCACTGGCACGAGGCAGCGCCATTGCTCACTCTGTAGTTTTTCATCTTTGAGGTTTGTGTGTCCAGCCAGATCGGCTGCAAAATGGGCTGCCGCTTCTGTGCCACAGGAGCGAGCGTGGGAATGATGGGAGGGCAAGTTCATGCGCCCAAATTGGATCCAGGCATCTATCCGAATCCCAGTCGGTAAGAGGCGTACAATAGAAACTTTCGATAATCGTCTGGCGACAAGCTCCGAGTTACACAAAGCCTGATTACTTCGGCAGCTACTCATGCCGTATTTTTCGCGGGGGCGACCTTCCTGCTTCCGAGAGGCACCATGGGTCTGCGAGCACAGCTGCACCTTGGCAAGTCTGAACTGGTTCCTTGTAAGTCGAAGTAAAGCAAGCAATTTGATAGTGAACGCTCCAAGGCATGCTGGCGAGATTTTGGAGCAGGTACTGCATGCCCCTTGCTGCAGAAGACTGTTTGACTAATAACCCTTGAGGGTTCGTGCCAAGTACAACGGTGGATTTGGCTCCATTACAGCGAAGCCTACTGTACTCCAGTCTCCCGCCAGAGGCCAAGCAGTACGCAAGCACGTTCCTCAGTACAAGATGCATCGATGGTGTCTGGGCTTCTCGGAATGTTCATCCTACGATTGCTGGAGGCCCTACTGCGCCCATCCGAAACGATCGGAGCTCAGAATGAAACGGTACGGAAGGGAGGTCCTGGATGCTGCGTGAATATGTGAAGAACTTGCACAACAATCGGACGCTGCAGTGCTTGTGTTTGCTTTTGAGCTGTGGTGAACAAGGTTGTTTTTATGGGCATGGGTGAGCCGCTCGACAACTACCGCGCCGTTCTGGGGGCGCTGAAGGTGCGGTCCCTTCTTGTACCGTTGTCCGTCCAGCGAAAACGAAATTCACATTGATACGAATCACCGAAGTGTGTGATCAACTTGTTTCAGCAAATTCACACATACAACTTTCAAGCACAACACACCATGGTGGCTCCCTACAGTCGCAATTGAAGCAGCATCCTCGCCGCCCATGGCCTCTTTGATGGATCATGCGATGATGGTCAAGGAAGTTGCAAGCCCGTGGTGTGTTTCTAGTGGTAGTTGTGCGCTGGTGCTGGTGCTGATGGGTCATCGTAGATGTTTGTAGTAGTCGTAGAAGTAGCAAGTAGCAGCTTACCTGCGTGGTCGTAGACGCAGCAGCAATGCAGGATAAGTAGAGGAATAGTTCTTGTACGCATGATGGCATGCCAGGCATTGGCCATCGGCAGCCGTGCATTTGGTCTTGCCTTGAAGCCACTCGGCTGAGGCTTGCTCTAGGCGATAATCAAGAGACCTCTTGCGATGCTCATGGAGGATCATTGTTTTGTCAGGCATAGTAAACCGCCAGTCTTAAATGACGACGGCTTCTGTGCTGGATGGTGGTTCATGGTTCATGGTTCACGTTTCAGTGCTCCTGGACTGTCGTTGCTTTGCTCTTCGGTCTCAGACCTCGGGCATCTGTTCAGCACGCCGTCAGCGCTGCCGGGGCTTGAAGTTCTTGCATGGTGCCTTAAACCCTAAACCCTAAGCCTTGTCCCGAGGAATGTGACAGTGTCAACTGTTGGAGTTCCTGGCAAAATCCGGCAGCTGGCCACTGACTGCCCGGCCGCCAACCTGGCGCTCTCATTGCATGCACCAATGCAGGAGCAACGCCTGCCTCTGGGAGTGTTTTGCTTCGTGCATCTTCGTGCATCCGTGATTCCTGGCCTGTTTTAGGACCTTCGGAGCACAATCGTACCGAGTGCAACCAGCAACCAGCTCGATGCACTCCTGCGCGAGGCACTAGAGCTCAAGCAGCGGCGAGAGTGCAACTTAAGCTGTGAACCGCGTGTAAACTTCATGTCTTCCGCGAGGTGGATGAATATGGTGCCTTGACGGGCAACAAGGTCCGCTATTTTTTTGTCCGATGAGTCCGATGATTGGTTCGCTGCGAAATGCCTCTCAAGGATCAGCTGTTCGCTAGAACAACCGGCAACTGCAAACTTTTAAGCCCGAAGCCTTTCTTGTCTAGCTTAGCGCGATCTCCCTACAACTGCTAGCTGCTAGATGATCCCAACAGAGTCCCTGCACTGCCCTGCACAGTCCGCAGGTCATGATGGAGTACATCCTAATCGAGGGTGTGAACACGTCTGCAGAAACGGCGCATGCTTTGGGCTCTCTGCTGGCCCGCCAGCGAGCACTCGTCATGCTCAACCTGATCCCCTACAATCCAACGGCCACTGGGCCAAGGTAGAGAGCAGTTGAACGGACGCGAGGTGGATAAGCGACCAATCGCCCCACAATGGTTATTCTTGTTACTGCTGTCCGACTTCGACGTTTGGATCATTTTTGTGTTGATTATCCTTTTCTAATCTTGCTCAGGCGAGTGGTGATGGGAATGGGTACCAAGCTCCGACGGACGTTTCTCGGTTGCCATACATGGATGGCTTTCCTGTTAGCTTGAAGCCTCCCACCGACCGGGAACGGCAGTTCAGGGTTGGTCGAGCCTGAAAAGTTTGTGTCTTCGGAATGCCTTGTAAGTCGAGACTTCGACACCAATGCCACGGGAATGCCAAGCATGCTAATTGATCTTTCGATAGCTTGTGCAGAGCAGCGTCAGCTGCGATATCTCAGGCGGCATGCAAGGTGTTCCGCAATATTGTTGCGGAGTACCGTCGATGCTGCGATGCTCCAGGAAGTGCCAGTGTCCTGTTCTGCAACTCCAGTCGTCTGACCGTACTGCCGAGTTTCCTTGCGCACAGGAGGGTTTGGCCTTTTCTGCGGTATGCTGTCCATGTGCTGGGGGCAAGAATGCTAAAGAACCTCTGAAAGCCATACCGTTTGCTGCGGCTGCCCCCGAGGTATCGCAGATGCACAGGCGCACTGGTCGCAGTGGACACGTTGGATGCGGCAACGCGGCCTCCCGCGATCTTGACTCTTCTTCCCGTCAGGCGGGCGCCCCGCTGCTGTGCACCATTCGCTGGAGCACCGTACCTGGCCAGGCCGTGGAACTCGGACGGGGGGTTGTGGCGCGTTCTAAACACAGTTCTAAAAACAGTGGAGTTTGCAACTAGACATGCGCTCACCAAAGTAGGCTGGCCGGTGTTGGGGGCTTCCAGCCTTGCATTTTGCTGATCGGAAGAAGCTACGAGTCTCGAGGCCCAACTGGCAGCCTGCGGACAGCTGGCTCTGGAGTCGGCAAAGCCCGCAGCAGACTCGGAGTGCAGAGCCTTTGGAGTTCAGGGCGTTCTGGGGGATGTCGGTAGCATGCAAACTTGTGCCAAGGATTTCGAAACATGTCCGATGGTCGCGTTTTTCCAGAAGTCAGAGGCAAGGAAATCACGAAACAAAAATTGCGGAAGGACAGGAAAGCCCGAGGTGGACATGGAGCACGGGAGGCTGAATCACACACAAAACAGGCCACACTGGCTTTGCAAGCACGGAAGCTTTGATCTGCAGAGGGTGCAGGGAATGATGGTCCATGCCTGCTATCCGGATGCACCTCTGTCCAGACCTTGCCAATCCGGAAGGAAGAGGGAAGGACTTGAGGGACCTGCCGGAAGCTCCACGAAGAAGGACGCAAAGCGAAGCCCCATTTCAGCTCGCATCAGCTCGCAGGTCTCAGGCTCCTGGGGATCCTTGCCCGGCTTTGGGGAGTGTTGGGTCCGGGATTCGCGTTGTTGAAGAGAACAGGTTTGATGCGAGCAGCTGCAGGCCAAACCAGCGCAGCTGCATGACATCGAGGACATGCCGCTCGTGAGCATTGCGAGGCCAGCTGGGTAGGTGCAAGATGGTACAAGTTTCCGACTATGACTAGGACATGCAACATGACAGACGGCGCCGGGAGTGTAAGTCGCCTCCTCGCAATGTGGAGCTTTTGCTCGCTCTGAAGCGCAAGCAGCAGACTGCTCTGCTGCGTCATGATGCGGTCCGTCCCCGATGGAGGAAAGTGGTGAAGCAAGCGCCACTGCCTCCACTCGTCGATGGCCTTCTGTGGCTGCTGGCTGCCGTTACTGGCACAGGCGGGTGGCAAGTTTCTGCAAAGTGCCTAGAGTGGCTACGTGTAGAGGCGCAGCAGTAAAGAGGGGTGTGGGCACTTGTCTTCACACGATGTAAACTCGGTAAATCTCGGTATTCTAAGTCCTTACCTGGCTCTTCCAGGCGCGATCTGCTGGATCCTCGTCCACAGCCACAAAAAAGACGTCCTTGTGATGTTGCAGTGCGGGTGTCGCCTTCGCATCATGCGGCAGGGAGTCCTCTTCAAACGTGTGCGCATTGTCAAAGTTGCATGTCGAGCTTGCTTGGGCCCAGCTCAGAGGACATGGACAAAGTAAATTCAGCTGACAGACCCAGCCAACTATTTCAATTTTCTTAAGACCCTCTCAGGAGAGGTGCAACAAAAAGCTTGAGAGCATGCCAGTGCGACCATCATGGAGGGCATGCAAACTGCAGCCAGGCCATCATTGTGCATTCGCCGCCATCGAAGACACCTCTTCTACTGTAGACATGTGTGTTTTAAGAGGGCCACTAGTATAGTGACCGTTTGAATATGCGAGTACAGTAAAAAACAGTACAAGATCCACAGCAGTTTATGACAGTTCTGCTGTTCTCAATGATGCTTCTACCCTGCATGTGTTCCCGAAGAGCAGTGTCGAGATACTAGCTGTGAGATACTCAAACGGTATGTTCGTGGTGCTGGTGCTGGTTGTGGTAGTAGTAGTAGTAGTAGTAGTAGTAGTAGCAGCAGCAGCAGCAGTCGTCGTGGTTGTGGTGGTAGTGGTGGTGGT